TATTTCAAAAACTTCAAACCGATCAATGTAAAAAAAGGGACTCGAACCTAATCCTCTCGTTTATTAGGCAACTACTTTACGGTTTCAATATCATCAGTCCTGGTATAGCTTTAGTTAATAGCAGTGTAGAAAAGAGGAGAGATATATTATGAAAGGATAAAATTCATTTAAATAACGGGAGAACAAAAACGGAAAACTCTCATTTCCTCAGTTCAAACTGAGCAGCCTCCAATTTTTTTCATTCGAAATGACTGATCAAATCAATGCTGAACAACGAAAGCTGTTCATCGGTTTTAGTTTAGGAGACTTGAACGTTCCATTTCAAATAAAAGTGAACACGTGTTTGGAGGGCATGAAAATAGCAAAACGAAGTTTCTGGCGGATAGAGATTCAAACCTGTTTATTACACTTGAGGGTGCGCGACAGGTTCACTAGACCTGTGACTTACTGAACAATAAAAATAAAAAACTTTTAAACTAATTCACTTCTTCTTATAAACAAGTTAACAAAATAAACAGTTTTTGCACGATCAGAATTTGCACCTGGTCACCCGGCGTGTGTAACCAAAACAGAAATGAAGCTCGGCTAGGTTAAAAACTTCAAAAAAAGCTCAAAAATTTCAAAAAATTTATTCGTTCTCTTTTTGAGTTCTCACTATTTTTCATTAGAAAAAAAAGAAGTTCTGACAGAGATGAGATTGGAAATTGAATTTTCAATTTTGCTTTTTCCCTAGCTTAGGAAGTAAGTCACTATGAAGAAAATCCGAGAAAAAAAAGAGCGTAAATTTCCCCAAATCGGTGTTACAACAGCTTCCCGAATGTATAACGTTAAAAACTTGCGGTGGCTCACTGAAAGTGGACTGAACTCCCCCGCTGTGCGCGCATGTCCAAAAAGGTGGCGGAAAGTGCCGACTACTCAAAAAAATTAATTCTCCTTTTGTTTTCAGACCAACTTAGGGCAAGAAATTATTATTTTTCATTTATTAATTGTGACTGTGCTGATAATTGATCAAATCGGAAAAAATCACATGCAAAGACATATAATCAGCAAAAAAAATCTTTTTCCAAGTTGTTGTTTGCATTTTTGAGATCAAATGGTTTGAACCAAACTTCTGTTTCTGGATAGTTGGGTTGTTTGAGATGCGACATCATCTACCAGTTCTTGTATGTTTGTCAATTTGGTTTTTTCTTGATAATCTCCCAAGTTATAAGCTTCTAGTCCAACGCTAGTAATAACAATCAGGCTCATCGATTTATCTTTGTTGCAGCACTTTAGTTTTTAAAAATTATCATCCGATATCCATCTACCAAATCCTTGATTTACTGAATGCGAAAAGTGTAAAGGTACCAGTTTCTCTTTTAGTTTGTGAAAGGCGCTAATTCGATACTTGAATTAAGATGTAAGGAAAGAGACAACTTTTTATAATATAGATCAAACGAGACGATGTTTTCCGAAGATGCCAAACAATCCAAATGCCAACCACCTGCCAAAGATGTCTAGCAATGAGATGAAATGAAATGATTGACAAAAGGAACTATCCAGAACTAAATAGACTCGGATAACTGATTTAGCACTATGACATACCCTCTTCTAAAAAGTAAATAAACTGCACTGGTATTGATTTAAATAAACTTAAGTACTAGATGAAAAGTTTTTAAACACAAAAATTAGATCGGTCTCACCGATCCTAGCTCAGGTTTTTGCACTAAGGTTAAGGCACTGACTAGTTAACATACTAAGTTTAAAACAAATGTAGCTGAGTTTTCAGCTAATCTTCTAGAGTTTTATATCCGGGTTTTTATATGTCAAAACAAGTTTTGGGAGTTCGTGAAGCTGTGTGATGTTCAATGGATTACTGAGTTTCCGATTCTTTCGAAAACAAATGGAATTCTGTGAAAATTTGATCTGTCTCTTTCCTGAAAAATTAGACGGAATGAACTATTTTTTAAAGGTGCTCTTGAAATTCGGAAATGGGGTTTTGAGAGAATTTGATCCCCACATGAGAAAACTGTCATGTCCAAGGATGTTGCGCTCCTGACTGTCTGTGATGAAGAAAGGAGTTTTTTTGAACACTCATCTAATGGATCTAACTGGGATGAAATCTTGCTCGACTATGTTTATCGGCTCAATGTTGAAACTACAGTAAAAGTCCTTCGTCGCTTGGTCAGGAGGGTTGATCTCTGAGTAGGGGTCTTACAGTTGTTTTCATGAAGCCCATTTCTCTTGTCGAAAGTAAAGTCTTCAAGAAAGGAGGCCGAGTTAATTTGAACATTCATAGATACAACAGTTTTCTTTCACATCTCGTATATTGAAATTTTCTTCAGTTCCTTTCCTTATTCCTCAAGCATTGTCGTCACAAGTAATGCCGAATTTCCGTCATTATCACTTTTGCCCGCTGAAAACCATGCGGTAATTTCGCCCCAATTAATCTACCTGTGTTTTTTTATGCTGGTTGATCCAACGGGTTTACTTTTTTTAGTATTCGCAATTTTTTGATTAGCGACAATTTTTACATTCTTTTTTCTGGGTTGAAAGTTTTTGACAAAAGGATATTAAAATTTCATAATTTCAGGAGGTCGTCTTTTGCTGGACAAACTACCGGGTGCCCATTTTCAAGCTTCCCACCGCTTTCAAATTTAATCAAGCGCTTCCTGTATCTGCATCAAATTGGGGTTCTCCTTGTGTAACTTTCTTATGGTTATTTACAAGCCTATTGTGTACAATATGTGTAAAATTATATTTAATTGTGATCTTGAGACGATTCCAAATCCCTTTTTTGTCGGTAAAGTCTAGGTTAGGGATTCATTAGGTGTTAAAATTTCTGTTAAAAAGTTTCTTCGATTATCATAGTTCTTCATGCTGTTTTTGAAGATATATCGAATCTTGCTCAGCTAGATATATCAATTTTCTCAATCATCTCGGCTAATGCGACCCTGAATTTCTCCAAATGTTCGATTTTGGAGTTTGTGGCGTTCGGAGGCGATTTTTGGCTTCCTAACTTAATCCCTGATTTCCGCGAATTTATCCAAAGGTTTCATCTCAGAATATGTGAGCAAATATACTTTTCTCTTTATTACCTACTGTAAGGTGAACCATTGAGCGGAATTTGTTGTCGGCTAACTTTACTAGCTTTGAAAGATTTCGTTTCTAATTTGATTCTTGCGTTTTCGTTTTCGTCGCATTGTCTCTTCTCGTCTAAGTTTCTGATGGTGCAATTATATTATGCTGTATTCGACTCATTCTGTTGTTCCTCTTCTATCTGTTGGATTTCAGATTTCAGCAGTTCTAATGGATTTCTCTATTTCAGTGTTTTCTTTAGTTATCAGAGCTAATTGAAGTATAACCTAACAATCTTCCTATGGAATTGGGGTCAATAGTGTACTTTTGCCAGGACTCTCCATATGCCAGATTCGTTTATAGATGACTGCAGCATAAATTAATGTTCTATTGACTAAACTAAAGAAGTTTTAAATTCAGATAAAAGAAAAGAAAGTAGTTAAACTAATATAAATGAATTTTTTCTGCTTATTGTCCGATAATACTGAGCCCGCTTACTCCGAAGAAGATCTGTGGAAATAAGTCAAGGTCAGACAAGACCTGTTGAATAACAAAAAAGTAAAAAACTGAGACAATCACAACAGCGAAGTAAATTGATAATACTTAAAAATTCAAGTGCACCAATAAATACTCAACAAAAAAGTTGGGTCTGATGACAGTATAAAAATTCAAAAACTGGTCAAACTTTCTATGAAGCCGAAAATACAAAATAAATGACAATCAATTGATTTTCTGAAAAAGGTCTTACGGTAGGTAATTGAGTACGAAAACAAAAAAAAAGAAGAAAAAAGATCATCAAAGCCAGCAATCTCAACTGAATTGATTCAAAACTCAACAAAATGAACAAGTTAATGAACCACATAATCCAAAAAAAGCTCTGGCAAAGTTTATGCAAGATCGACTATGCTCTTCGCAAGATAATTCAAACTATTCAAAACACTGGAGGACCTCAAAAACTAGAATAAAAGACCCTTTTGCCTAACATTTCTTATTTATAAGTTCATTCATAGTATATTGAAAGGTCAACATATGAAGATCAGTATTCGAGCATTAGTTAAATTGTTTGTTTGATTGCGCTCAAGGCTAATACGAATCATCGCTTTTTTATCCCTAACATTTACATATTCTGAAATGTCGTCTAAAATCTGGTCCATACTTTGCTTTTCAACTCTTCTTGTGCCACTATTTTGGTTATCTTTGGGCGATTACATAGTTTTTACAAACACAATTCACCCAACGTGGCAGTCTCAAACTTTCGAAATTCCTCGACCCATGATTCAAAACGACCGCTCAGACTTCTGCAAGCATTACAGTCTGTTTTACTGTCTTCATTCATTTGAAGCTCAAACAAGAGCTTTTGAGATTCCAGGATTGGCTTTTTTCCTTTTCCCGTGACACATCCATTATTTTCATTGTATAATTAGTGATAAAATTTCAACATTAGTTGGATCTTGTAAAATTACTCCCTAAATTGACACCTAGCAACAAATACCTCTATAATAAGCCAACCCAACAGTTGCGCAAATATTTTAAGTCAGTAGCTGATTTGAGGAGAGCGGAAGGAGGGGTTGTAACTGTTGACCCCCCTTTTTCTCTCAGGAGTTCGACACCCTCATCATATCCAATGAGAACCCCCCCCCCCTACTCCAAATAGTAGCGCTTTGGCTCAATTTTGCAAAAATTTGCCCGCGGCGCAGAAATGTTTGCCAAACTTGTATATTTGGTTGACCTAAAATTAGGGCCAGCAAAATTTTTGATTTTTTTTTCAAATCCCACCGTTCGAGAAAATCCTAGATTAATTCTCTCCTTTTCCCCTACATTGGAGCTAGTAGCAAACTTTCCCCCTTAACAACAAGGAAAGAGGTTGTAGCAACAATTATTTAAGCAAATCATTCGAAATAGCGCCTTACGCATGTCAAAATCCAGCAAAAACACGGGGAAAGAAAAAAGTGATTATAAGGATTCGAATACAATGATGACGAGATACGGTACTTTGAACAAGTCAACATCAGTATCACTGTCATTCATATAACAATGAAACAACAAATTGAACAAGTTTTCCGCCCCGTCTTTCAGCGACATAATAACTTCCAGGTAACGTAGCAAAAAGTAGACAAGTCACAAAGTAGACACGTCATAAAGTAGACAACTGCTATATTAACCAATCAAAACTAAGAACGCGAATCAAACTTAAAAAACAAATGATAATCAACTATTCATTTCCTGGTTTTGCTTTCTGTTCTCAATTCTGATTGGTTAATATAGTAGTTGTCTACTTTTTGGCCGGTATAAATTTAAAAATTGTCTACTTTTTGACCGCACTCCTAACTTCCAGTATCCCGATCTCTGTTGCCACGGACAATATCATCAGTATTTCCAGCACGGATTCTTCGATTTGCACATTACGCCTAGAGAATACCTGGCAAAAATGACAGATTATTCTGACGAAAACAAAGTTCTGAACTTCATAGAGTCATTTTTCTACGAAGAATGTCAAATTAACATTATTGTTCGTGTTGGTTTTGGTACTGGGGCTATGATGAGAAAAAATGTCTTCGGCAGAACAAATATCAAGTCTCGGAATTGGGGCAGATTTTCTAAATGACGCCTGGAATATTTTTTGTTCAAAAAAATGAGCTTTAGATTTGGATTTGAGCTGCTAAGATTTTTTGGATCAAGTCAACATCCTCCCCTCCAAATAGACCAACTTTATATCCTCCACCCCAGCGTTCAAATTAAATTGAATTTGCTCAGTGTTACGTGTAAAATGCATTGTTCTGATTGGCGAAAAACTCGAACCTAGAACCCAGTTAACAACCTCCCCCCTAAACGTGTTTGGGGGGTGGGGGAGAGAATGTTAACTTGGTCCGATTTTTTGATTTTTTGATCAATTCTAAACAAGTTGACTTAATCAGTTGAGGCCATTTATTTAGAAGGCATAAAATAAACACTCTAAAAAATTTAGATAAAGTTACTTTAAGTAAGTTAAGGTAGGTGCAGTTTAAGGTAAAATTTACCTCGAGTCTACCTTAAAATTACTTGAGGTAAATCTTTACCTGGACCTACTAAACAATCTCCCCCCCCCCTTATGGTACCTACTTAAAAATCTCCACCCCTATAAATAAATACAGTAAATTAGCACTGAGCTTTCTATTGTAAATTCTGATTTGCTGCATTCTGATTGGTCGAAAAATCGTACACTTTGATCTACTTAACAATCCCCCTTTCTTGAAAGGGGTGGAGATTGTTAAGCAGATCCCTTTACCTTAAAAATAATAGTATCTTAAAGTAAGTTCAAGTAAATTTTCCAAAATTTGTTGAACAACCAGGTCGGAGGTGTTTTTCGAGTTTCGAGTCAGAAGAAGTAAAAAGCTTGCCGATCTTTTTATTAGCAATTCAGAGTAGTTCAAGTAGTTTCAATTAAAAAAAGGAACAACTAAAAGATGAAAAAAGTTGTCGAACTCCTATATTCTGAAAATAAATTGCAATAATTTTTCTGACAAGGTATCAAGAGATGCATATATTTTCAGCACATCAAAATTTTAAATGCACATAAAATTATTCTAATGGAATGGTTTAAAGGTAAAGCTGAGGTGACATAAGGTAGTAGATGAGGTGGCTTGAGGTAAGGTTAAAACAATTTTTGAGGTAAGACTACGGTGAGAAATTTTTGCCTTAACTGTTGAGGTACCTTAAGGTACTTTTTTGAGGTAAGATTACCTCAACTTTTTTATAGTGGTAACAGATTGAACAACATAAACTGTTCGGCTTTTCATGTAGTACGCTTTGCTAATACAGGCGTGACTTCGGTGCTCGGATATTCTCCTTCGGGAATCTCTTTATAATTTACCCCCCCCCCCTCCCTCCTTTTTTCAAGAAAGGGGGCTGGGAAATTGTTAACTAGATTAAGTTGGTAGATTTTTCGACCAATCAGAATACTTCAAAGTTCGAAATAAATAGAACGCTCTAGTGCTACTTTACTGTTTTTATTAAAAGGGATCACAATTTTCTTTTATATGTCATAGTGAGGGGGGGGGGGGGGGGGGCAATTGCTAAGTAGATCCTGCTTCGCTCTCAAGCAACAAGCAAGTTAATAACAGTATATCAAAATATTATGTCCTGCAACTGTGGTGCTTTTGTGGTGCTTTTTGGCTGCTCCGCAAAAACATACAATGGCTTTAAATATATATCTGCCTAAATTCGACATCTAAAGGCGCGGATTCCCGTTCCAGCTGGGGTCTATTCCAAACACTCCCATAATTCCTTACACAAACCCACAAGACTTCTTGACTTTCGCATGGTTCAAATACAACGTTATCTGCAAAGAGCAACCGTGGATATGCCCTTTTCATTCTAATTATGAAGTCGGAGAGTCTTCCGGGGTTAGAGGCGAACTGCGATCACACCCTGTTCCTGACGAATTTTAAAGCAAAACAAACAAATAAAAAAAATAGGTGCGGTGTCATTTAATGTCAATTATTTGACGACTTTCAATCGCCGAAAAAAATGTTCAAGAGTTATACTCCATGGATAAACGGATCTCTTTAACTATATCCCCCCATTTTCAAAAGGGGGATATTCATTACTAGGTTTAAAATTCTCATATGCTTAACTGTTGATTTATTTCTTTATAGGGGGAACTCGTTACTAGGTACCCGAGGGGGGATATAGTTAAGGAGATCCAGATAAACAAATGAAAAATTACGCTGTGTCGTTTCACCTAATCTAAATTGTTTGATGACATTCAAACGTCGATATTTTTTTGATTCATGCTGATACATATTTAATTATCAAATGAAAAATCAGTCATAACAATCTACAAAAACTTTTGTGGAAAAACTTCGATAAATCCAGATCATGATCTGTTTACGTGTTTTAAGCGTTTGCGTCATTTGTAGTTCCTGCTCTAAATTATTTTGCCGACTGTCAAGTTTCTTAAAATATTTTCTCGTTTAATACTTGTATAAAATTTAAACAATTAACTCTTGTCCGCTGGACTGTAAAATTAGGCGATGAAGAGTTGCCGACGAAAGGAGGCGCAATTTTACAGACAAGTAATCAGTAGCAAATTTAGGGGGGGGGGGGGGAGGGGGGCGGATTCGACCCCTTGCCGACCCAAAGGGTCCCCCCTTTGTGCTATTTTGAGATATCCATTTTTGGCTGACTGACCTTAAAAATTTTCCAAAGGCGCCTTTGGCGCCAATCTATACTAATTTTTAGGGGGAGGGGGCCGAAAAAACTCGGTTTTTTGGTCGATATTTTCCAAAAAGTGCCCAAAAACGCCTTTTTGTCAATTTTTTTTTCAAAAATTTGCCTACGGCGCACAAAATTTCGTCAGGGTCTTTAAATTGGTTTGGGAGAGCTCAGAAAATCAATTTGGTCGACCTAGAAAAAAAGTTGACAAAATTATTTTCAATTTTTTTGAAAATCTGCCCCTTTTCCTCGAGAAATTCCTAGATCCGCGCCTGCAAGTAATTGCAAGATTCTATAATAGGACATTTTGCCATTTTTGAGAGTGAAATACACAGCAAGCTGTCGCTATAAAGCACGAAAAAAATTAAAACGTTTTTGGAACCAATCAGAAACACCTATAATTCTATTCCTATTCCTATTTTTCCTCTCGCATTTCAACTCCCTCACCGAAATAAATGATCTACAGAAAATTATGAGCAGATTTTTAGACTAATTCATGACACTCATTTTGACCAAAAAACGCTAAAAACTTTTGTGTGGCTACTTTGGCGCCAATATTCATTAGTGTCTAGAGAATTGGCTTTTTTGCTTGTTTTTTTCTTAAAACAATTGCATGTGTCACATAAAATATAAGCAAAACGGGGTTTTTATAGTATTTTGGCGTCCTCGTAAAATCAATTTGATTGATCAAAAAGACCAACAAAAATTTTATAGTTTCAAACTCTACTTGACAAAAATTTCACTAAGTTATGCTACAATTAAACAAAAGCAAATTCTTTAATGAAAGTGAAATGCACTTTTTTGGCCAAATGGGTAGGTTTCGTCGATGTTGTTTGATCAAATAAATGCAAAAAATTGGGGTGCGTACAGTAAACCGATGTGTCAGCAAATTACTAGATCAGTAAACCGAATTACGTAATTTTTAGATCAAATGAGGAATTAGAGATTTTTAGAATAAATTTAAACGATAAGAACAATAAATTTAAAACTACGGGGCCTATAGGAAGAGTTACTCTAATTCATTTTTTAATTCAATTTAACGTTTTGATGAACAAACTTGTCATATTGTGAAAAATCTCAGGTGATTACGTAATTGAATCATAAATTTTGAGTTTACTGATCCGATTGGCCAACTTTTGGTTTACTGATACATCGATTTACAGACAGACCTACCTCTAAAAACTCATTACGAGGCCAACTGTGCACTGAATAGGCGTTTAAATGTGTGTCCGGATTCCAGATACATGTTACGGAATTTCGTTGGAACGATGAAAGAAAATGAAAGAACAAAAGGAAAACAAAGGGAGCGTCCTTGTGTCCGGAATTCACCTACAATTCACATAATGCACAGTTAAGCCCCATAATGTTATACACAGAGTCACAACAAAGCTTCGCATTACTTGCAAAACAACGCAAGCTTTGAACTGCAAGCTAGCAAATAGCAAATGCCACAAAAATTACTGATTTGAAATTAAATATCTTAAAAAATACAAATAATTTTTTTGATAGAAAAAAACAGAAATCAAAAACCAAAAAACAATCGAGAATTACAATCAACAGTTCAAAAAAGCAAAAGGTATCATTTATCGAGCGAAAACTTGTGAAAAAAGAAAATAATATATTTTCATTGTGTGATTCGTTTAAACAAGAAGCAAATTCAAGCTTTTGAAATAAAGCCAACAAAAAACAAACAGACAAGCGAAACAGTGCCATTAATTTTTCAATAATTTCTCAAAAAAAATTATCGGAAAAAATCCATTTTATACAAACCGAAAACAACAAGGTCCGACAAGGGACAACAACTCAAAAATTAGTTTGCATAGGCAACTGGGTTACCTCTAGACCAAAAGGGAAGGAATTTGGAAATAGTTTGAAAATTTGAGAAAAAAAAATGTTTATTTTCCAATTTTAGGTGGGGAAAAATTGTTAACCTTAAAAAATCAATTTTTCACCATAAAAAAAAAACAAAAAATTAGCCCTAGTATAAAGTAAAATTTACAAATTTGGCAATCAAGCAAAGTTATCAGTTTTTTTTCTTCAAATTTTACACACATCTTAAAAAGGAGTAAAATGGAGGAGTATGTGCTACTAGCTTATTTAGAAAAAACTACTCAAAACTAATTCCACAATTTTTTGTTTTTACTAATTGTTAAACTCTGTGGCAATGTAGACAAATTGATCATAATTTTTCTGAATTTCAGACCAAACTTAAAGACAATTTCAGTGACACTTCAATCGATTTCGAAAACTTTAAATCACAATCACAATTGCTCTTTTTTTTGTTTGTACTTTTTTTGTTATTTCATTTTCTGTTAATTTATTTTTACACCTTTTCGAAAGTTGCATTAACGCCTTTATATTTTTGATGTTCACTAGTGGAAATTACCTTACATTTAACGGAAATGAAAGGAGCTTGGAAGGAAATCAAAATTCATTCCCCGAAAAATTAAATTTAAGCCTGAGCAAAGTCTAAATTTTTCCTGAAAAACTAAACAAAAAAATCACTAAATTATATACAAGTCTTCAGTACGTTCGATATTTTTCGAAACTTTTCAAAGATAGTCTCAACTTAGATGATTTGGAGAGTTTTTAGGAATATCAATGTCCCATTCTAATGCAAAAATACCACAACAAAAATGAGTTTGACTCAAATCGAGCCTGGGGCGTGAGTAGTAGATGTTGAGGCTGATCAGCGGGGGGAGGGGAGCATGGCGGACCCCATGTATTAAGATACGTTATGGACTTCCGGTCCGCCATGCTATGTATTAAGATTGGGTATAGATTCTACAATGTATTAGGATAGGTAATACCAATGGTAGGTTTCATGGTTTGTGTGATGGTAAGATTAGGGTAAAAAAAAATTTTTTTTTTGTTTTTTTTTTGTGTGGAAATGTTTAGTTTTTTCGCAAAAATCTCGGCGCGCGTTATCTAATTGGGAACAATTAATCGTTAAATACTTGTAGATTGTAGAATTAAGGTTATAATTTTAGTTTTTTTTTGTGTATGGTAAGTCAATGGTAAGAGTTTTTGTGCAAAAACTTGGAATTTTTATCAAAAAACTACAAAACACCATAGGATTTGTTATAATTTGATCTAATAAAAATTTATAGGATAATTTTATTTTCTATTTATCTGAATCTATTCTGAAACCCTCTGAATCTTCGAAAAATTACAAAGAAAATAAATAAATCACTGCATCGTATAGTAAACTTACTGCCATGATTTACACTTGCAAATAAAAAATACTACACATTTACATAAAATTACTTATGAAATTTAAAACATGCACATCATGAATTTTATTCAATTTTCTCTGGAAGAATTTAAAAAGGAGAAATGCTGAATAAATTGCGTAAAATCCACCCAAATTATCAGTTTTTTGTAGTTTTTTGGGAACCATTCGCCGATACTTTTTTGTTAAAAAGGAATAGGCTGATCTTTTTCGACCCAAAGAATCAGCAAAGTAGTAAGATTTGTCCACTCGAGCTATCATGATCCAGTGCTCCCCTCTATCATTGTTTTATCATTGTTTGGAGCTGAGTTAACAATTGCAAAAGAGTATTTTGTTAGTTGAGGTACTTTATCAGAGGGTAAGATCCCATGTACTTGAATTCTTTCAATAAATTGCAGAAGTGAAAAATTATTCACCTTTGCAATTGTTAGCTAATGTACATCTAAAACAAAGAAAAATATAGTTTGATAATGTAATTTAGGGTGAAGAAACCGAAAGTTATTGACTTACGCGCATTTAGGTATTGAATCAACAAAGGCCCATACACAAAACTTATGAACTTGGACAAAATTTATTGAACAGCGTTTTACAGTCTAGGTTGAATGAAATTCTTGGGTTTTCAAATAAACAGCATTCATTATCTGATTTTCTAGAGATATAGGTCTGAAGAAAAACAAATTAGATAGTACAGAGAGAATAACAATGAAAAGTCCCAAAAAAAGTTACAATATTTTTATAGGAACCTGAAAACTCAAAAAAAAACTTAACATTTTTAGCGACTGTTCCGAAATTGTCAATTTGAACATTTGATAGTCTTTCTCTCAAGACTATCACTTCTGTTACTTGCTCCAAGAGAAACTGGAAAAACATCTCTAATCTCAAGCTTTCTCCACTAAGTTCTGGATAATGCAACTGTTCAGCTGCATCCTGTAGTGAGGTCAAGTCAAAAATTAGAATATAGTGATTTTGAAAATCTTCCATAGGAAGAGCTGGGAAATCTTCATTAAACTGCATTGCTTTCATTGTTGTAACATAAGGACGACAAGGAGAAATTGTATCTAATGAAACAATTGCTCTTCCACCCCGATTAACTCTCAGCTCTCTCAAATGAAATTGTTGATAATTGAA